TTGTTATATTCTGTATATTAAAATTTTTTTATAATTTACGTGCTTTTCGAACATTTCTATTCTTCTATACTTTCTGCAGCATGAATCTGCGAATATTTATAAATCTCCTTATTGAGATTGCTTGGCAATGAGTGTGTTATATTGAATGCAGAAAATAACACAACTAATACAAAATTCTTTAATATATTGAAACGAATACATACTTTTTATGCACTTTGGATTATTATACATATAACAGACTCTGCGTTGAAAGGCTTGGTATACACAAGAAAATACAAAAATATATAAATAATACAATAATAATACAAATTCTAGGAATATAATACATTTTTGTATATTAGATTTATGATTCTAATATTTTAAATGATTGATTATTTTTTTAACATTGTTAATATAAATTTTTGGGATTTTTATAACAGACACGACAGCCTATATTTGTTCAGTTGCTACATGCAGCTTTTAAAGTATCACAATGTGCATGGTTAAATGCTGGTCAAAGATTCAATGTGGAAAATTGTATAAGAACATTGTCCGATGTAGGTGAGTAAACATTATTTTAATACGATAAATATTTATCGAAACTTATTAAAATATTATTCTAGCATTAAATCAATTTTTTTGGTTATTTTATTAAGAATTTTTTCTTTTTTTAATAGCTAAGGGTAGAGGGATAGCCATACCAACAGACTTGGAAGGCCAGGTTGCTTCTATGTTTAATAAAGCAGCAATGCTCAGTAGACAAACAAGCAAATGGCTTCAAGCTGCTAAACAACCAAAAATAGAACGCACTCAAAGCCAGGTAATAATATATATTATTTAGAATTTATTTAAGCTTTCAAATGTTACTAGTTTAAACATAAAATATTTAATCAATTTATAATAGATTCAATCTTCAAATATCTAGAGTGACTTAATTGATGAGGATACTAAGGATGAGGTAAAAGTCACTCATTAGAATTTAGCATTTTGTTAGTTTGGCACAGCTTAAAAAAGTTAGTGTTTTAAAGCTGATAACATTGTTCAATACATATCTGAGTTCCTAATTTTCAAAAATCTTTTTTATTAATTTTGGTGTACTCAATTGAAAGTTAGAAGTCTGGAATAAAATAAAAATTTATTGAACAATGTAATTGGTAAAGGATACGTAGCGTAGATTTGCCGAAGACCAAAACATGTGTTGGTATTGAAATAAGGTGACATATTAATATTATGAGCATATTATACAATATTATTAAAGTATTAGAAGCCTCAAGTGACAATTAACTGAGAGGTATTTTAAGTTTGTACGGCTTTGTAATATTGTAAAACCTCAAGTAGTATATCTTAAAATGCACTGTACGAAATAAGATACTGAAAGTCTCCGACTAAGGAGCTAGTAATCTGCATTATAGAAGAGGTTGATTGTATAATAGAAATAATGATTATTTATATATGAAATTAATGTCGGATAATTAATGTTTATTTAGCTAATGCGTTTGGACCGAAGTATAATAGAAGGTTTACAAGATATAGTGTCACTACTAGAAGAGCAATTGAAGCCATTGGTGCAGTCAGAATTGTCTTTGTTAGTGGACATTCTCTATCGACCAGAATTATTGTTCCCAGCAGCAACAGATGCAAGAAGAAGATGTGAAAATGGCGGTTTTATTCGACGGTAATTTTTCGGTGTATATTAACTTATATATTTCTTTTCATTCTTTTCTTTTCTTTTCTTTAGATTAATCAAACACACGGAAAAGTTACTCGAAGAAAAGGAGGAGAAATTATGTGTAAAGGTGTTAAGGACTCTGAGAGAAATGATGGCTATAGACCCCGAATATGGAGAAAAAGTGAGTTTCACAGAATTGTGTTTTGCATGATCTACAATAATCATTATCATACAGAAAGACACGATAATGTGGAAAAGGGCATTCAGTTGTTTCTCAAGAAATGTTATAATTATTAATTAGTGGTGACGAATCCTCCTGATATGTTTAATGTTTGTTGCTTATTGAAGTAACATTTCTATGGTAAATAATTATGCGTGCAATTAGAAATGTAAATGTAATCTTTGTGATTAAATTATATTATTCTTATTACTATAGTATTTTATAAACGTTGTAGTAACTGCGAGACGTTAATGAGAAGAATTATAGTTAGGGAATATCTTATTAGAATCGTAACATTTATTCATGTAAAAGGCTAAATATGTATGTGGTTGGATCACATCAAAGATAGATTTCAGAAATAAATAACCATATTTTAATGAATTCTATATTACACAGTTTCTAGAGCAAGTCACACTGGATGAGGATTCGATACCGTTAATTAGCACCCCACCACGTATTATTGATTAAACGTGTTACCGTTTCGAGTTCTAGTTGAACGTAAAAGTTTACGAAAATTTGTGTTTCCATATCCACTTGTATTTTACATGTTTGCCGAAAAGCTAAATGCCCATATGTTTCACGGCACTTTAGATGATCAGTACGCAATACTATATACATTAAAAGTTTCTTTAGTTGGCAACATAGAGACCGCAAATGAGATAAGATGCAATTAAGCTTTTCTGAAATACGCCATAGAGAGTTAAATAAACAGTGGGTGAGTAGGTTTCGTAGAATAGATATGTAGGTAAAGATGTTTTCATGCTGCAAACGAAGAACGAAGGTGTTTCGGCAGAAGAAGAAACAGAACAGCAGACCGAGCCACAAGTCGGAACAGACTGTGTCGACGAGTCTGAGACTCGTCATATGACTCAGCAAGAGCGGGTAAAAATTAAAAGTAGATAACAACGGTAATTTGTGGGCACAACGTATATAAATTGGAAATACCAATTTGATTTCTATTTTTGAGAATTTTTCTCACCATCACTTTATCGCTATAATATTATATGTATACAGTGTGAATTACAAGAAGCACACATTTAACTCTTTGCACTAAGGTCTTCTTTGAAAAGACAACAATACTTTTTTGTACAACTTTTAATTCCTTCTATATATTATTTATCTATAGGATTTTGGAGGAAAACAATTGTACTCAAACTGATAGCCTAGTTGTGTATTTAATTATATTATTGTTTTCTTAAAATTTCTACTAATCTCCCAATAGCTTTGTGATTGAGAGAAAAACTAAAAGTGTATAACATCATATTAACGTGTATTAGGAAGTT